ACTTTACGCTTCTACAAGTTAAATTTTACTGTGTAAACGCTGTTGTTTTATAACTAAATTTTAAACTAAGTATTGAGGTAATATGATTTTTATGAAGGTTTTTTTTTTTAACTTAGTCAAGTGATAACTTGTTATAATTACACAATATAACTCTTATTTTTCTTGATTATGTAGAGAATTAATTAAACCTTTAGATCAAACAAATTTCATGTGTCTAGAATGGAAATTTATGTACAAAACAAGAATTGTGAAGCATACTTTAAAGCTGCTATCAGCGGCTTGTGGTAGTGAATGAGTTAAACCATAAAAACTTGTACTAAAACCTAATATAAAACTTATTACAAATGGTATTAGAATTAATACCGCAAACAGTTTGTTTACTTTTTTTATTCTCTAATAATGGAAACATATCTAAAGTCATGTGACCCACAGGAATACTCCACAATATTAAACTAAATTTGTGGACTGTGTTCAAATTACCATATTTGGTCATTTTTGATAAATAAGTATTTTTTGATAAATACTCAAAGTTAAATTTTTTTTAGATAACAATTAAAAAAGTAATTTATTAGATATATTTAATGAAAAGAAAATTCAAAAATTTAAATAATTTGGGATTCTGGTTTCTACTGTTCTATTGATAAGAAGTTTAGTATTTAAAGTCAAATATTATGTCAAATTTGGATTTAAAATAATGTTAGTATAATAAAATTATAAGGAAAGAGTTCTAATGATTTGAACTTGCAACATATATAAAACATATAAAAAGTTAAAATAGTAAAAAATGTTAATAACTTTAAAATTAATCATAAATAAGTTTTTCAAACATATCAAAATATATCTTTGGTTTTGAAAATATACGCTAATGCAGTTTTGAACAGGAATGGCGTGCGATCGAGCGCTATTGCTGACGCAATATGATTTTACCACGCAAATGATTTTATTTTTTGACTACTTGACCACAATTGTTTATATGTTTTGATGATTTCAGAAATGTGCTGAATGTCGACACTCTAATTTAAACTTAAATTAGAAAAAAGTTAAAAGAAAAACTAATGAAAAAAAAAATGAAAAAAAAATTCTTAACAAAAAATATGAGCACTAAAAAAAAAAAAAAAAAAATTAAACTTGAAGCGAAACTTTTTGTTACGTTTTTAATTACGATTGAAATAAGTATTATGTATAAAACTTATCTTTTTAAACGTTTTATTAGAGTTACGCAAAGCGCTCTTAAACTAAGTAACAAATTACTACTAATGATTGTTTAGTAAATAAACAAATTTTATCAAATTTATTAAAAAGTGTTGTATACAATATTTTTAAATTGCATAAACATTTATTTTTTCAAAAAAAAATGCAAAAAAATGCAAATAAAAAAATAACGTAGTCTTTTTAAAATACTAATTTTTAATGATTTCATGTTATAATTAGTAAGTCAAGTTAAAAAAAATGTTTTCAACTTTTTTACTCATAAAAGTAGGAAAAAAAAATATATATATAATGCGTCTGCGATTTAAATAAAATAAACTGCCAACAAGCAATTTAATTTAATTTTAGTTTGAGCATTACAACTTTATTAATAGGTGCTTCATGTACAAATTTAAAAAATTTTCCATTAATCAACAAAATACATGCTAATATAAGTAAATAAAGTTATTTAATATTCTTGTATATTTCACATAAAATGTGTAAAAGCTTGTAGTTAGAAAAGATTTTAAAAATAGATTAAAGTAACTTAAAAAAGAATTCTTTCGAAACATAATGGTTTAAAAGATTTTTAGGAAGACATGGAAAAATAGTTTCAAACGTTTAAATTTATCATCAAAAATACATGCCCACATAAAAAATTTTTAGATTTTTTATTAATTTACACAGGCGTTTATGTAAACTATCTTTCTAATTAATTTTATGGTTTTATTTCATTTAATATATTTTATTTTATTTATTTAAAGCCTTTGCATAAAATAAAAGATCAACAAATTAAAGTTATTCATAGGGTAACACTTTTTTTATTGTATTTAAATTGTTAAAACATCAAAATAGCCATGGTCAAGTTGTAAATAAAAAAAAGTCTTAACATGGCCAGTTACAGAGTGCGATGCACACCATTCCTGTCCAAGTCTGCTCATGAGATCTGTTTGTATGCTTATTTGAGCCATAATCTTGGCATAACTTTGGAGGATGAAAATGGATAATTTGGTTTAAAACACAAGGATCTGATATCTCTAAAAGACAACTTATTATATCTGTAAGTTGTTCTAGATGTGATGTCTTACAAGAGAGAAGTTTTAAATATTTTCTAATATCTTTGTTGTTTGCCTCTAGACCTTTTTCTAGATGTCCCTCCCTTGTCACCAGAGTTACAACACATTTCTAATCACAGTCCGGTGTTTTATTTTATTTTAGTAATAATCCTGTCATTTGCATTACATGTTGGTTTACCAAGTGGTCCTGTTTTTGTAACCCAAAGTGTATAATCTATATTACACCGATAAAGTAGTTTTAAAAACCAGATAATGCATTTATATATGAATGTGTAATACATATGCTTTTTTGATCAGATTTGGTTTGTTGTTTTTTAATCAGTCCTTTTTGTGTGTCAAAATCTCCAGTTTTAGTAGGAATGATACCATCCTTCTCAACTAGCTTTTCACACAGCATCCAAGTTTCTTCTGATGATTGATCAATTGGAATTCACTAACTCTCCTAATATCTGTCCATTCAGTAATTTTTGTTTCGCAAAGTATACAATCTGCACCTCCTAGTCTGCTGATGAGTTGTTTAAACTTTAAATCCTTCATTGTATCTTAAATAAAAATTTTGACATTGATATAATTTTTGCCAAACAGACAACACATTCCTTCAGCAATTAACTCTTTTCGTGCATTATCAGTAGTTGAGACAATAAGATCTAGCAAATCTTGATTAGTTTCTGTTTCTCTTATCAAAAACACAGGATCTTGATGCATTTGGTAATTTTTCATAATATTTGAATAATATTGTCACAGAGTCATAAATTTACGATGAAATTAATAAGCCTCGATGGCATATCAATTTCAGAGGAGTAAGACCATATTAAAACATATTTGACTTGCTTTCAATCATTTCTTTTGATTTCATTGATACTTGTTGTCCTGCTCCATCATTGGTTGTTGAAAAATATGTGCCTTTTAAAGCAAAAAGAAATCTTAATTTTCTCATTTGCTCTTTAATTAATGTAAGGTAATGCGTTAAAGCAATGGATTCATTTATGCTAAAGATATTTGTTGTTTCCTCATGGTTTATAAAAATATTATTTCCAACACGAGCAATACTTTTGTTGTTTTGTGTGTTAACTTTATATAAGAGATAAGCCAATCGCTGGTTAACATCCAACTCTGGGCACTCATTAGTGATAAAGTTGTTTATATAATTGAGAAGTTCCTTTGTCCTCTCCTTTTTCATCTTATCACCCAGTTCTGTGAAAGATTTTCTTTGATTTAAAATCGCGGTTTTGTTATGTAAGCTACTTCATAAATAATATCTTTTGATGCTTTTGAAAGTATAAATGCATATCCATTTTTCTTGAAATGTTTCTCTTTCAGGCGTTTATAACGTTTCCATGTTTTTTCACACACATTTTCAAACTCCAGTGAATTAACTGATAGCTCAAAATTTTTATAAAGTATTTTTTTAATGGCTGAATATGTTACTGAATTTGACTTTTTTGAATTTGACAGTTGTGTCAGCTTTAATAAATTGTGTGAATAAATCTATTTCTGTGATGTATTTTACATTTTTATTTTCCTCCATTACATTTGTTTTTTGTTTTACTTTACTTCTGCTGAAACAAACACAAAACAATATCAAGTAAACAAATAAAAAATTAATAATTTTCATATTTGTAACCAAAAATATAATATTCACATATTTTAAGAAAAAAGTAATCACTGTTCAACTTTTTTAAATCATGTAAATAAAAAAAAGTGCTAACTTACCTCAGTTCCCCTTAAAATATTTGAAAAGAAGAAATGTTAAATATTTTAAAAATTCATTTTGAATTAAAACCGAAATTAAACTTTTATAGATACACGAAAAAATTGGAAATTCATCAACTTCAAAATTGCTTATCATTAATTAGAAGTTAACTAGATAATTTTTTTTTTGCATTATAAACAGTTAATAGCCTTCTGAATGGGTACATGTTTATCCAATAGTTACAAGTTTATCCAAATTCAAGCTCTTTATGTTTGATTGTGAATAGAAATTTAGCTCTTTATGTTTGATTGTGAATAGAAAGATGAATGCAGGTTTTCTTTATAGAGAAAACATAAAGAATTTACTTAATAAAACATTTTTCTTAATAAAACAAGCTTTAATAAAACAATTTAATAAAAAAAATTCATTTAATAAAACTACATTGTTTTGCTCTACAGCCATTCTAAGCCTTAAGTACATTATAACAAATGCTAGAAATCATTAATAAAGCACTTGAAGAACTTATGCAATTTATTGAACCTAAAATCTTCATAAAATTTATCAGCTTGTTTATCAATTTTCACAATTAATTTCCGGACCTTTTATACATAGATCCGGATCAGATTAGGCGGTTTGGCCACTTACTTCCATACTACTTTAGGCATTATTTAACTTTTTTTAGTTGAAATGATTAAAATCCACACTTCACACTGAGATAAGATGATAACTCTTACGGGCAGATAAGATTAGGCAAAATTTATTTTGTCTAATGTATGAAAAAGCCTAATTTAGTTTGTCACACTCCCGCGCTTGTTGTAGTTAAGTTAAATAAGTTACGCCAGCAACTCTGTAACTGTGAATAATAAAAAATGTCTGATGGAATTTTAAAATGTAAAGTAAATTACGTCTTAATAGTAATATAATTTTTCTTTTTAGGCTGCCGCCTAATGTGCCATACCCTAGATCCACCCCTGATTATTAATGTTACTTCTACAAATGTATTACTATTATTAATGTTATTTCTACAAATGTATTTCTTTCAGCATTTAGGAGATGATTTGTCTGTACTTTATGATCTGGCAGCTGGTAAACATACTTTTTACAAAGTAAGTTTTTTTTTTTTTTTTTTATAAAAAAAAACAGTTTCGACTAAAAAAACTGTTAAAATATTTTTATATGTTTGAATTTTATAAAGTTGTTAATTTCAAAAGTTATTATTTTCATTTGTTTAACATTTCTTTATTCAATTTGTTTTTTCTTATTTAGGTTTTACAAAATGCTAAAAAACCAATGATTATTGTAGGGAATGTTAATCATCCAGAACGTAATCTAATGCATTCTCTGTGTGTGAAGTTATCAAATGGTTTAAAGTCTAATATTAATCCTGATTGGAGAGTTCTTAATATTCTTCATAAGGTTGCACATTAAAATTCTCTTAATACATAAACCCATAAGGTTGCAAATGTTGTTTTTAATTATTTTTTTGTAATTTTCATTTGATTGAATCAAGAGAGGAATTAAGCTGCAAACTGCAGTATTTGGAAATATTTTATTTTGTAATTGTAAATATGTTTTTTTTTTTTTGTTTTTTTTGTAATTTGTAAATTTGTATTTGTAAATGTTTTTTTTTTTAATATTATCAGTATTAGTAGTATTTTATTTTTTAGTAGTTTTATTTAGTAGTTTATTTTTTTTAGTGTTATTAGTATTTTTTTTTAGTATTATTAGTATTAGTAGTATTTTATTTTTTAGTAGTTTTATTTAGTAGTTTATTTTTTTAATATTATTAGTATTTTTTTTTTAGTATTATTAGTATTAGTAGTATTTTATTTTTTTAGTAGTATTATTTAGTAGTTTATTTTTTTTAGTATTATTAGTATTAGTAGTATTGTTTTATTTTTGTTTATTTAGTAATCAAAACTAATTCATATTATGTATAAACATAATAAATTGTTTAAATAATTCATATTATGTATAAACATAATAAATTGTTTAAATAATTCATATTATGTATAAACATAATAAATTGTTTAAATAATTAACATGTTATAAAGTTTAAGGTATTATCTTGAAAAGTAAAACTGCAAAAGTTTTAAAATCTTTTTAATTTTTATTTTTTAAGTTGTTGATTTTAAAATCTTTTTTTTTATTGATTGATTGAAAATTAATATTTAACTAGTGATCTTTTATTTCATTTGTTAAATATCATTATTTTGTAATAAACTGATTTATTTAAAATTTGCTTAATTGTTTCATTTAAATCAACTTACAAGTTATTTATAGAAAATTTTTTAAATATTTACATGTTGCAATTAATTTTGTTAATATCTCAAAATGTCATGAAGTATATGGTTATTAGATATATGAGATTTGCTATAGATTTTTCTTTCTTCTTTTTAAAAAATTTTAAATCTTTTTTAAAAATCATTGATCTTTTCTAAAGTTTTTATTTTATGCAAAGGCTTTAAATGAAATAAAAAAGTAAATATAGTGATTGTTTAAAATAAACCTATTTTTTGTAAGTTAATAAATAATGGCATATTTAAAAAAATTTTTGTTTAGGCATGTTTTTTAATAATAAATTTTAATATAATAATTTGTTTGAAAATATTTTTCCATGTCATTCTAAAAGTTTTTTGAGAGTTCATTTTTTAAATTACTTAAAATTATGAATATGTTAAATTAAATGCTTTGTTGCCATGGAATTTGCTTCAATTTTTTTGTTTATATTTTTACAAAGAATTTTTTTTTGAACTTGACAAACTAACCAAAGCATGAAACGATTAAAAATTACTATTTTAAATAGACTAGGTATTTAAAAAAAAAATTTTTGTTGCTGCTTTTCCGAAAAAGTAAATGTTTATACAATTTTAAAATAATATATATAACACTTTTTAGTAATTGAAATAAAATTTATTCGTTCATTAAACAATTGTTAAAAGTAATTTGTTGAAGCGTTTTGGGTAACTTTAATAAAAAGCTTCTAAAGATATATTTTTTAAGTAATTTATTTTTAACGGAATTAAAAATGTAACAAAAAGTAATTTTTGTTTTGATTTTTATTTAATGCTGTTAGATTTTCTTTTTCATAAGGAATTGTTTTCTTTTTTCATTATAATTACTTTTTAATTTTCTTCCTAGTTTAAGTTTAACTTGCGTTTCTTTTTTCAGCGCATTTCTAATGTTAAAAAATCATCTAAACATCTAAACAGTTGTGGTCAAGTTGTCAAAAAATAAAATCATTTGTGTGGTCAGCAATAGCGCTCGATCACACACTATACCTGTCAAAGCCATGGTAGAATGAGGCTTGATTTGAATCTAACTGAAAGGATTTTTTGTGATGCTTTTACACCCTCCTGAATATTTTTGTGATGCTTTCATGCTACCTTGAAGCTTTCATGTCCTCCTGAATCCAAGACGCATAAATTTCACTAAATGGGAAAATACATTAGACCAAATATCATCCCAAAGTAAATTGCAAAATGAATCCAAGACAGCTTTTATGTACTAGTAAACAGTGTGATAATGTGCTGAATGTAGAAGAGGTACTTGGTAAAAGAAGTAGAAGAGGTACTCGGTTATAGAGGTAGAAGAGGTACTATTTGCAAAACAACTTTAAAGACCCTTGAGGAATGATACTATTATAAAGTCACCAATGTTTTTGCAACGTGCAAAACATTGATGACTTCAATGCAAAATTTTGACATTGGTGTAGTCCTCTTTGAGATTCACAGAGTGGGCCATCAGGAGAGACGGTTGTTTCAAGACACCTACTTGTACAACTTGTACTTTTGGAACATTCAAGAACTTCATAATTTATTTTACTTATATTTTTATTTTTATTATTTACTTTTTATTTTTAAGTAACCATAAAGAAGATCTAAAATCTATTATTATTATTACTAATCAATTTTTTTATTTATCCTTTCTCACGATTTTTACGCAAGATCACCAAAAGGTTTTTTAGACCCGATTTTGTTGGGAACAAAATTTAGTTTTTTGTTTTTGTTTTTTTTTTTAATTCTGATTTACTCCCAACAAGACTGTAAGCAATCACTATTAAGTTAGGAGTTTAAGTTTTAGGAGTTATTAGAAAATGTAATAAAAGTTTTTAGAGCATGCAGGGCTAGGTACAGTAAAAGAATTAGACTTTGCTGAATGATGAGTCTAGTGAGAATGAGTTTTAATTGATGGAACTAGAGATGATAGCTCCTTTGAGCAGCTACCATGAGAGTGTTTGTAGAAAAGAGAAAGAGATGCAGCTTTACATCAATGGGAAAGAGGCTCAAGCTTAGCAGATAATGTGGGTTCAACTATGTTTACAATGCATTTTTGAACTTTGTCTAAAAAAGAAAAAGCATTAATCAGAAGAACTAATTTTTCCTTAAATAAACTAAATTTTTTTTTCTTCATTATTTCTTAAAATTGCGGTTTTGCAAATAATGATTTTTTACTTTTTAAAAGTTATTATCAAGTAAATAAAATTACTTCATGCAAAGAAAAAAACTCAAGTTAATTACTCTACCAGCTTTTTTTTTTTGTGACAAACAAAGATTTCGTTTCAGTTTCCAATAATTATTTTTTAAAAATATATATCATTGCGCTTTCATAAAAAAGTTAAACGTACACTTTATGAGTATTTTTGATTCAGTGTTAAAAGTTATAACATGTTTACAAGGAATTTTAGTTTTTGTAAAAAATAAAAAACTAGAGAAAGAAACTGAGAAAATTTTTTTTTTTATTTAAATAACTTTTTTAATCAAAATTCTTTCTTAAATATAAGGAATTTTCTGCTTTTACTTCTTTGAAATCACTCAGTTTGTTAATTATATAAAGCTGATGTAACAATTATAAAATATTATTTTTCGCAATATAAACAATGACATTACAAGAGCTCTATTGCTTCAACATTATTGCTTTTTTTAAATTGGGTAATTATTTTTGTTATTGTTTGTTATGAGAAGTCTTAATAGATATTCTTTCTCTTGCAAGATGATAAATAAAAAAAATTTTATTGTTTATTTCATGATTTATTTATTTTTTGCGCCTATAACATCTTTTTTTTTTTTTATTTCACTGAACATTTTTGATGGAAAAGTCAGGTTAATAAAAATAAAATTTTCTTTGTTTTTTCTCAAGTTATTACATTTGTAAATAGTGCGAATATCAAATATAATTGTCTTGCAAACATTTTTTTACATATTTGTCATTCAAACTTCATAAGTGGTTTTTATAATGTTAATTACTTCTCTTATTTTGCTGCCTAAATGATTTCTTTAGACCTAAAATTATAAAAAATCATGTGAAAAGGTTAACAACTTATGTTAAATGGCTTCTATTTATAAATATGTATGATATATGTATCAAGCCTTCCCAGGAAACGCATGCGGTTTTTCGTCTTGAAAGTCCACAAAAATGGACATTTGCAAGTTTTATTATATTAGGTGTTTCTATACTTTGCGAAAAACTAAGTAAAATTAGTAAAAGTAAAAACAAGTAAAATTAAAGTAAAATTAAAAACAAGTTTTTAAAACCTAATGCGTTTATATGTAATTAAAATGCAAATTTTGCAATCAATTTCTAATATTATTATTTGATTTTATTAACATTCGGCAGTATGCGTGTGTAAAAAAACAAAAAGAATTGAGGAAGAGATGGGACTTGAACCACCAACACTTCCTTTATGAAGACAACACTTTATCCAAATAAGCTAATTGCGCATATGAGTAGGAATAAGTAATATAGTTATTTTAAAAATTTTTATTCTTTTTTTCATATAAAATATAAACTTAATTAAAATTAACTAAATTAATTGACTTATTGCAAAACTAATTATTGAATATTGTATTGTCATCAAGTAAGAGTATGTATGGAAAATTTGAAGAAAATCTATCATCAGAAAGTGACTCAAAAATTGATTTCAAGATTTGATGTTAACAGACAGAGACAAGCAGTTAAAAAAAAATAAAGAAAGCAAAACTAACAAAAAATTTAACTCGACATTTAAAAGACTGATTTTCCATTTTTTATTTTATTTATTCCAATATTGACTTTTTAGATGAACAAGAAGAAGAATACACCGCCAATGACAATTTTTCCAATGATGATAACTAATAATACCAAACTATTTATCAAATATTAATGATTTTTTTTATTATTATTATTATATATCAAAAAATTTGTTAAATTAAAAATTTTACAAAAAAATAGCAATATCTTTTTTAAGTAGTTGAAAAAAAAAGAATTGTAAAAGTATTGTTATAAAAAAGTATTATAAAAGTATTGTTTGTATTGCAAAAAATCTTTTGAAATACTAAAATTTTAAATTGCTCATAGTTCTTGCGTAAATAACAAAATATTTTTTTTAAATACTAATTGATAAGTCTTAAATAAATTGTGTATTCTTTTTAATGTCG